AAACTCAAATATGTAAGAAGTCGTCTATAGAAACACTAAAATTTATAGATGTGAATTTTTCGTCTACTGTCTTTGTCAACATCGAATTACAACTTTGCATAGTCACTGTGGTATTACTGTACCTAAATTATTATTTAATGTCTTATTAACTCACAGATCAAATCTTACTATCTATATTTGTATTGTGTTCTAATTTGATTTCAAAACTGTGGTTGGTTTTAGATACCAGATTGCAAAATTATACAGTACAGGTCACAAATTACAAATATAATGAAATGTTGTTTTGCTCATTAGTTCCACCAGTTCCACAGAAACCGCCATCTGTCCTGAGCAATGAAAACGGTCTTTTACGAATTGACCTAAATTTTGAAGAATATTCAGGTGATGGACCAATCAAAGCTGTACTCCTTTACTACAAGAGAAGTCTGTCAAGAGCCGACTGGCAACAATACTTAGTCGAAGAAAGTTTGGAAAATAGCGAAATTGTTCTGACAAGTGTGCTACTTGAATATGATACGGAATATGAATTTTGCGTAGCTCTCAAAAGGCCTGGGCCTGGTGGAGAAGGACGAAAAGGTCCATCGATGAGAGCCACATTAAGCTGTGAAGGTAATCGATCCCTTAAGGCCAACTCAGACAGCGTCGGCCGACGCAGCCCGACCCGATTTATCGTCGGGGACAGTCTTAAGCCGTCGTGAGAAATATTAAACATGTTTAATATTCTACGACGCGACTGCCCCCGACGCACATCATCGCGTCTGCGTTTAACTCACACAGACCCGACGCGACAAACTTTCACAATATGTTATTTTGTAATTGCAAAACGTGTATGTAAAAGGTCATATCAATAAGCAAATAACACGACGTAGAACATTTTCTACTCTAATTTGAATTTTATAATATAATTTGAATTTTATAGTATAGTGAAGTATGATTACAGTATGTCGTTACTCTAAATTATAAACAATATAGTCAATGATGCATACACATTCAGATTATAGTGTAAGTCTAATTGGTATGATACTCACCTTGATAGCGAGAGGTTGAGGGTTCGAATCTTTTCAGAGACACTTTTTTTCATACAACTGACACCTACCCCATTTTATGGTATCAAATATTAAAATATTACTAACATCTTCAATTATTGTCTCCAGAACCATCTGTAAAACCTGAAGTCACTTTGCAACCAGTGAGCGAAGATACAATTAAAGTTACATGGAGTGTAAGTTTGTCTTTTACTATTTCGTGTAAGGGTATTGTAGCAAATTACATGATCACACTTTTAACCCATATTAATGATTGCCGGGCCAATTGCAGATTTGAAATATATTTTTGCTTAAGAACCTAATCTAATCTTAATATCTGGTATGCTTTTGTTTACTTTTAGTTCGTGCCTTCTCACAAGAACATGATCATTACAGACTTCATTATTTCCTACCGACCATCTGGATTGAGGAGCTGGAAAGAAAAAATTGTTCCAAAAACAGACGTAAATCAATATTTGATTACTGGTCTGCAAATGGGCACACTACACTACTTCAGAATGTCAGCAGTAAGCTGCGGGGGAACTGGTCCGCATTCTACAATGCAAAGTGTCAAAACGGAAGATGGGGGTATGTTCATGCATACGAAATCATTTGAGATGGCTCTCCTTTTGTGTTTTGTATAAAAAAAACTTTTTGACATTTTCACTGTAACTTTCTGCAATTGTATCTATAAGTAATTAGCGTAGATTCAATATGTGAAGTTGTATATCAGTTCTACATAAGCCTTTCATTTATGAAACCCAAACAAACTTTTTAGGATAAGCAGTTAGAAAATTCTCCATGTGATTCACACCTTGAATCTAGGCAAAGTTACAAAGTTGATAGATGTACATGTAAGTGAACAGCCAGTAACGGAAGCCGGGATTTCTGATAACACTAGTCCTTCTTCAGTAGCGAGTGAGTGAGGGTAGAAAAATATATAATATGTAAAAGTATATGC